TCCTTTGTGGATATACCACCACACAGTGGGTGAGCGGACACAGATTTATCATTGCTTCTCTCTGTGTTTATTGAATTAACATGGTGATGCTGGACAAGCTAGGGATTAGTTTGAATGGCCATAGTGCTTGACCGAGAATGTCCTAGTCAAATCATTCAGCATCAAAATATTCCCCCCACCCCACCCATCCAGATCCCGGACTGTCTCCCCTCTCTGCATGGCACCCCACTTCCGCCTGCTGCGGATCTGCGAGCAGGTGCAGAATGAGGGCAGCCTGGAGGGGATAGATGCCCTGCTGGGCTGCCCGCTCTACACCGTCAGCGAGGAGGTCATCCCCAAGGTCAGCTCTCTCTCCAGGCCGGAGCGAGAGATGCTCTGCACCTGTCTGTTCCTCACCATCAACTGGTTCAGAGAGGTAGGAACCAGTCTTCAGTTAGCACTCATGCACTCCTATAAATGCTCAAGTACTGATGAATACTCATACTCAGCTACCCACACTCAAGTGTACTCATCCCCAACATAACAGATGTAGTACTCACTACCCAGACTAACACTAGGCGGTTTGGCTATACCCTTGTATAGGCTTATGGGTATCATGGGGTTAAGGCAAGGGGATAAGCAAAGTAATTTGAAATTTTCCTTTACCTTTCAAAGTAAGCAGATTTTCACTCTTCAGATAGGCTATCTAAACTTTCAAGAAACTAAAGATGTTAAAGGCAGGCTTGGGCTCTTTACAGTGACAGAAATTACTGAGTTGTGTGTAGTTTCTTCGTTTTTCAGAGAGGGACTCACAAAGGTGTAATTATTATCGTCTACTTGGTTAACGCTTAATGAATCTTCCGCAGGTTGTGAATGCCTTCAGTGGGTTGACAGATCCAGAGATGCGAGGCAAAGTACTGTCCAGACTTAAGAACATCACAGAGGTCCAGAAACATCTGCAGACATGCTTGGCAGGTGTGTTTCCTAAAATGCCTTTCCATCAAAAATTTTTTCCAAAGAAATTGACAAACTTTGTTGAAGAATGAAAGTGACAATAAAGGATTTGTTTGCATCATCTTCGGAACTATTTTCTTGTACATTTCCCATAACAGACAGAGGACCATTTTTTTTAGCAATTTAAAGTTTGCTGTAGATTCTGATAAATTGGGTATGATGCCAGTGACATTTAAAACCCTTCGTACTGAAGCACCCAAGTCCTGCTTCAAGGCTATTTCCATCCACATCATTTCTGTATTTTACCTTTTGAAAGCCTTCAAAAAGTGCAACCCCCTCCCCTCCACATGCCCCCCGTTACTTCCTATCATGCTCAATTGCAGAAACCCCAAGCTTCAACCCGCCCCTTGCCAACTTTGACAGTGGTGCAGCTCATAGTACCGATGGTGCCTCCACATCAGCATCAGGCTCAGCGAACGCGACAGGTGTTGGGAGCAAGAGAGGACGAAAGGCCAAAGAGTGAGTTTGGATAGTACGGCTAATGGTAGATGCTTGAACAGGTAGCGATTGTGCAGGTAGAATCACCCAAAAAAATTAAGCTGTATTTACAACTGTAGGTACGGTATGTTTTTGCTGAAGCTCAGTCTGGGCCTAAGGATGCAGTCAATGACTGTGTTTGATACAGGTGCATTTCTCTCCCCCCCTGCACCCCTCACCCTGCTCCCCTCACCCTCACCCCGCACCCCTCACCCCGCACCCC